ATCATCATCATCATTATCATTATCATCATCATCATCATTATTAATGAACGAAATTACATCTCATTTAACTTCCTGAGCTCTTAGAAATTAACGAGAGTAATAAAAGCTGATTTGACCGCTCTTTAACCACAGAATTTATTTTTTGTTTCTACAATGGTACTCCTTGCATATGTAGTAAGCAATTTCTAAACGCATGTTGGCCATCTTTTCTTTTGTCATATTCTCTAACGATTTAAAATCCTGATGTTGTGCTCCCAACTCTAACATTTTTACCGCGAAGATGCCGCAGTCACAATCAATCTGTTGGGGTACTGTGCAGTATTCGATTTCCCAATCGGCATATCCGTGCTTGCCGATTTCCCTAATTCCCGCAATGCCTTTAAACCCTCTAAGATCATCTATCAGCAAACTAGCCATCGTCTCAATCAAAGTTATCCTCTTAAGGGAGTCAAGCACGATGAGGCGGCACCTCTCAAAGTCAGCCTTGATACAGAACCAATGTGAACTCGTGCCTTTCAAATAATATACGTACTTAGTGTTCTTTTTCCAGGATTTGGTTTTAAATGCTTCCGGCGCCTCGCTGTATGTACCATCCACAATCTTTTCAAGGGATCCAGACAAAACAGGCCATTCTGGGTCATGCGCATAAGAGTTCACATAATTGTTGAATTCAAAAGGCGCAATGCATGAGTCTCCATCGTCATTGCATAAACGTCTTCTCAGGACGTAAAGGTACTCACTCAAATGCTAGTTAACAAACAAAAGTAATATGTTATTAGAAAACGAAAGATATAAGCATTGTTTGTGTACGAAGAATGAAAGGTTAATGCAACTTACAGTATCCGCTACCCAAAAACCTGGAGTGATAAGGTCAGTCTAGAACGTTTTCACAAAATCCTGAATCTCCTTGTACTGGGCGAGGTAGCATTGTACAGGGCGGTCATCTTTAATTGCTTTTACGATGAAGCTCTTAAATTCCAAAAGATCTGCTTTAGTTGGCGGCTTAGATAAGAGCTCATCGGCTTTCTTTTTCTTCCTCACGTCCGCTGTATAAGGAGACTTCAAACTGGATGACTTCTTTTTCACTCTCTAAAATAAAAAAATAAGTGAATTATTTCGGAATCTTAGACCACAATACGAAAGCACTTGAAGTAAGAAACCAAACCTTTCCATACACAATGCCATCAGTAATTTCAGCCTCTTCTCCTAATTACTTCGGGGGAGAAACAACCTACAGTTAAATAGAGTGTAAATAAACATGCTCTAAATACTTCGAAGAACTTGACTGCATTTCGAATGCAATGACTCCAGAATTTACCTTGTCCTGCAGAGTTTTCATAGAAGCAGCAGCGTCTGTTTCCATGACCTCATGGCTAGGCTCAACCTACAGAAAATTCGAATACATTTGAAAACTTCGACTATATTTCGAAGGCACTTGTAGGAAGATTTTTAATTTTACCATTTTCTGCAGAGGCTTCATTGAGGCAGCATCTTCTATTCCCATTGTCTCGTGGGTAGACTCAGCCTGCAGAGGTTTCATAGAAGCAGCAGCAGCGTCTGTTTCCATTACCTCATGGCAAGACTCAACCTGCAAAAAACTCGAAAAAATTTGAACACTATGACTATATTTCGAAGGCACTTGTAGTAAGATTTATTATTTTACCATTTCCTGCAGAGGCTTCATTGAGGTAGCATCTTCTGTTCCCATTGTCTCGTGGGTAGACTCAGCCTGCACACAAGAACAAAAAATATGAATCTATTTTCGAAAGGACAATGCATTGTAAGTTAAGATTAGAACTTTACCTTTCTGTTCTCTAAACTAAGAACA